TTACTATCTTTGGAGACTTTACAGACAAATAATGTGATTTTTAGAACTACAGGAAATCCCTGCTCTCTTTTGCTAGAAAGTACTGGTTATTTATAGGAATGAAATCTGCTATAGAATTCGTAGAGAACCATTAAAAGAGCCTATTGCTTTAGAAACGTCAGTAATATAAAATACCATTTGTTTTAATTTATTTCAAATATTAAGGATGCTTTGTGTGCATTTATGCATTAGAAATAACACATGCTTTACCTAAACAGCATTGTATTTACTTTTACACAGCTGTATTGGGTAAATTTATCTTTGCCTCATTTTGAGTCATTTTAAGCATCGTGATTTTCAAAATTCATCTGAGTTCATATGTTATTAGAGAAACTGGACAAAGCTAAAAAAAAAAATCACAGAGGGACACAAATAAACTGAAAGAAGTAAATAGAAAAAATGAGAAATCACACACACATAAACACACAGAGACTAATTGTGGCATCCTAAGTAAGTACTCAGGTGATCCCTCTTGAGTACAGAACAAGAATCCTCTCTAGCCTGAAGGACTTGAATCTAACCATTCTTGGAGCACTTGTTATACGTACAATGTATGGTTTGTTAAATGGAAACAAGCACAGGAAGCTAATTTGTTCTGTAAACAGTCAGGCCCCAAGAGAGAAACTGCCTATTAAAACACTTATAAGATACTTTAGCTTTCTCATCCTTCTGAATGAGCACATGCATTCCACTTAAATAGTTCAACTAGTCCAACTATCACGCAGTTGTGCTATATCCTGCGAGTGTAACTGTAGGAGATAATACAGGAAGTGCTGAAGTCGTCGATAAGGCATGCAGACTGAAAATCTTACTCCTTTGTACTCACTGGATCTTTTAGGACGCACCCTAACAGCCCCAGCTTAGGCCTCTATTAAATCTACTTGCAAGGTTTCTCATAAAAAAAACCCCAACCCTTAGAAGAAATGCAAGTTAATTTGGAAAAAAACCCTCAAAACTCAAGAAAATCCAAAAGCCGTCCTCCAAAGCCACCTCTCGCCACCCCTCCGAAAAAACCCCACACCAACATGCAAAGACACGGATAGCAGTGCACTGCACAGCAGCTTTGGAAATGCTGAAAAACATAGATCAACCTACTGCAGAGTTCATGCCACAACCCAGCCTGGTCTCGGCTTATCATCTTCTTGTACATTGGCAGAGCCAGTGATTGTGTCCCATTCCTAGTTGAAAGAGCAATGTGAAACTGAGCACAAAAATCACACTGAGAGTGTTCCGAGTAGCTGGCACGCTCCCTGCTCTCCAAACTGTAAGGTTCATTTGGCTTCTGCTCTTCTTGAAATCACAATAGAAATAAGGCATCCCAAGTGCTCAGAGCTTGGGCATCATCATCACCATCTACGAGCCCAAATAAATTTGTGTCTTCGTAGCAGACAGAAGGAAGAAAGCAACATGTGGACAAATACACCTGAGTGTGTGCTATCAGAGGGAAATACCAGAAAGTATCTCTCAGCCCAGTCTTTACACATTATTACATCATTACACAGTCTGACCTGTGCACTCCTTGGCATTGCCATGGCATCTGTACTTGCTATGAAGGAGAAAGGGCAACCAAACAGTTCGGGAAGGGGTTCACGTTCTACTAGCAACTGGAAGAATATACCTGAATTCTCTGTGACCTACTGGTATTCTGGATTTACCAACTTCTTGAAGCTGGGGCAGAGTGGCCTCTGCCTGCAATGTTCTATTCCAGGAGGGCAAGAAGACATGACCTGGGTCAGACTGCTCTCTCAGCTTGGCTTTCCCCTGAACCCTGCAAAGGCGCCAGCTTCTGTAAAACAACTCAGGAGAGCAAAGACACACACTCTGTCGTAGCTAGATACAACCTGGGGAACTGGGTCCCGTACAGAGACTTGACTAAATAAAAAATGGGGGTGGGGAGGTGGGGGGTGGGATCAGCAATTTGCACAGCATTCTGTAATAGGGAGTTTTAACTGCCTCATTTTTTAGGGAAGGCAGAATAATTCTGCAGTGGAGGATGTTCCTCTACTGCAACAGGTTACCAGTTCCAGCTCTACCCACACACTCCAGCACTACAAGAGATCTATAAACCTTTACATGGAAAAAACTCAGGCAGTAATGGCATAGTTCCATTTCAAACAACTGTGTAAGACAAGAGAGGGGGAAGGGGAACACTGTAGTTAAAGGAATGGTACGATTCAAGGCAATATAAGGCCTAAGGGGATCTTTAGCATCTGTATCGCATGTGCGTACTATTCCGTGTTAATAAAGGAAAGAGAAAAAAGAGATTTGTGAAGGAGCTGTAGGTCTAATTGCCAAAGTGAAGAGACTCAAAACTTCTGCAGAAACTGATAGGCACTGTTAATAGGAAGTGTACCTAAAACTGTTTACACCAAAGCGTGTTAGAATTTCAGTTGAAGAACTAGATGAAACTGGCAATGCTGATTAGTTAAATTTGAATGCAGACTGATTCAGTTTGATCTGGCATTACACAAGATAATGGAAGCACTAATGTTCAAACTACATAAAAATTGCTTCTGGCCAAACTTTCTTTTGTTTCCTTTAAAATACATCTAACATCAAAGAGAACAGCTAAATCTGATGACACAGCAGGACTTTTTTATTACAGTAAACTGCCGTAACCTTCTTAAAAATTTTAAATTAAAGAAGTTACTTTTTTGGTTGGCTCCTATTTTAACAATTTTTCATTTAAATTTTGTTATCCTCTTCCTGCGAATCATATCTATTCTTTGGCTTTTCAGACTCTCTCATCACTATTTCTCTTCTTCTACCTCAGCTACACATACTTCCAGCCAACTCCATACATTTGCACATGAATGCAACCATCCTGATTCTATTAACACCACCTTCTATGAAGCACAGCTTCCTCAGTTCCAGCAACAAGGATAATGCTGCTGCATTGTCATTCTTGCAGAATAATTCAAGAATGCACTGTTTATCTTGCACTTCTTCAAGCTTCCGTGCTACTTGCTTCCTACTCGCTTCAAAATTGAAATAGTTGATGATCCAGTCATTCATAGGTCACTTCCTTCATGAGGCCACGACCAGTTTTTCCTATCATCAGAGTTTCATTACCGTTGTCACAAGAGACAGCTTTCTGCCCTGGTTCCTCATGTGAAACATTTATCCTTTTTACCTAGTTGGCTAAGTTCAGACCAACACGGTCCTGTGCAATAAGGACAGCACAGCCTACGCAATCAAGGGATGCTGGCTGAGAGGAGCTTCCCGCTCTTCGAATCTTCAGCTGTTCAGGGAGGGTACAAAATAGACAGTAGAAGCAACTCTGTCTTGAACATTGCAGGACGTGTTCCAAGACTTCAGTTTCCCTTTGTTCACTTTTTCCTCCATCCTCATATTTAATACTGTTGCTTACCTGTCAGAGTATTTTTGATGTAGTTTGTAAAGCAGCATTATGTTTAGATTGAAAACAAAACCACAACAAAAGACAATAAAAGAGGCAGCACTCCCCCTCCCCACCCTGTAAAAAAAACCCACTCGAATTCAAATTCATTTACAACTTTGGCCAATATTACCTGCATTATCTTTATTGAATGCTGTACATACTTAGAATACAAAACATCATGTTTTTTGTATTGATTTCTTCTCTTTAAATTTCTGCCAGCAGTACTTTGATTACACTGACCCGTATTCAACAGCACCTTAGAAATTGTGGAATTTCAAGTTAAAAAAGAGGAAAGTCTAGTGATTGTCAAACCCAGGTAAATACTAAGAATGTATATTAAATCTTCTGAAATACACACAAAAAATACTAAAAGTGAGAATTTAATTATTCGGTATCATTTGAGATACTTGCTAATGTACTTTTTACAATCAAGTACTTGGAGTTTTCTACTGCCAACTACAAAAATATGAAAACCATGATATTAATGCTTGTGTGGTTGCTCATAGCAGTTGAGGCAATTTACTAAAACAAGACCTACTAGGTACCTAAGAAAAATTGTTATCTTATTATTCACATAACATATGTCAAGTATAATTAGTACAAAACATCAAAATTTCAACCTTATATTGAATCTATAAATATATTGTAAAAAAACCCCAAAAAGCAAAAAACCAAACAGAAAATCACATATTACCAGGCAAGAGATCCCCGTGCATAGAATCCCATGTAAACAAAGCTGATGACAATAAAATGTCTCCATAGTATAAACTGAATGTAAATTCCAAAAGGGAAAATAACTAAAATTCACACCTTCTTATATTTTTCAATATATAGCTTTTAAACTATTTCCATTCTCAGTTTAGCTGGTTAGCTCTACTCATCCTTTGACCGGAAACATGGCACAACCTCTTCCACTTCAATTGCAATATCCTTTCAGATCTTGCCTTGAGAAAAACAAGACTCAAGATGTTCCCCGTAATGAGAATAGCTCATATGTGTTACAATGCACTTCATCTCCACAAGGTTAGAAGCCTGAAGGTTCTTACTTCAAGCGGAAAGCACTGCTGCTGTAAACTGAACAGCTACTTGATTTGTTTTGAACGTCAAGCACCAAGATAGCTAGTTTCATTTTTCAAATTAACGATGTACTAAAGGAAAATCCTTGCATCACAGTAAAATAATTTTTTTTTGCATCTTACACAGTTGTGTTCATGGCTAGAGAGCATTTAGCCATCAGCCTTAGCACAAATACAATTTCAAAGTATTATACCCCTATTATTTCTTCATTGCTATTAATAGTAATTTCAACTAATTTGAATAAATCTTAATATAATTTCCTTACAAAAGTGGAAGCAACATACTTAAGATGCAAATCAAGACTTAAGGATTATAATAATGCTTATTAAAAACAAGAATAAATGCAGGTTCATTTGAAAAAAAATGCATGAATTACATAAATATACATGAAAACATCAGGAATACAACAATGAAATATAATTCACAGCTTAATGAGTTTCAGCTCAATGAAAATGAATTATCTCTGCAGTGTTCAGCACATTAATCACAACTTCTGTAATACATAAAGAATACCAAGATTATCAACAGTCACATACAGTTTGAAATTAGGGGACACATGTATTGACTTGAGGTTTGTTCCATTTGTGTAGAAGGTTTGTAAGGATTCTCCAGTAGTTACGTTCCACCACTATAAAAAATAACAACACACTTTCAGTTAGTTGAAGAAAGCTTAGAATAAATTCTATAAACAGGCTTAGCATGGCAAGCCCAGCTGACTGCTTTCCCCAAAGAGGTAGAATTAAAAATACAAGCAATCTTAAGCAGAAAATGTTTAGGAGAAGTTACTAGAGGTATAGGACTATCAGATGAAAAGAAACTTCAAAAAGACTGAAGCTGTTCAATTTCAGGAAAGCACACAAAATTATAAATTCAGGTACTGCCCTTACCCCATCACAAAATGCGATCAATAGACATAAACTGTAACATGTCCAAAATCTAAAAGATTATGCATTTTTATATAACCAAATGAATATATGAAACACATTGCCAGACAATATAATTGACACTATAGCTGGATTAAAAAACTTAGCTGGACTCACAAGAGGGTCAATCATGTACACAGTTGAAACCATTTGCAGTTTTGTTAGCAGGACAGACTTTTTTCAGTGAGATTTTTTTTTTTTTTTTAACAATATACAGTAAGCACTAATAACAAAGGTACAGAGAAACCTTCAACCATCAGTTTGCTCCATCACGGTAGACTGAAATTTCACATTTCTCAGAAAAACTGTAGACCAATGCAAAATTGAACCAAATGCAACCCAGCACGAAGCTGTTACTTGACTGTTCCAATAAGAAGTCTACCCTCTATTCTTGCAACATTTGAGTGCAATAGCAAAATACCAAAACAGATTACCTTCAGCTTTGATCATGTATAAAAGCAGGTGGTATTGGTATTACTATTTTTTAGCTTACTCATCTCATGAAATATGTAACATTATAGTTGTGTGCATAATAGATTTTTAACTACACTGATGGAGACCGGGGCAGGGAGAAAAAGATCTTAATTAGCTCTTTTGTTGGCGGATAAATGTTCAGGTGCTGGGCCAGCGGGTACCACTTATGCAGCAAGTTCAACAGTACATGGCTGGATGCACCTCATCTGTGAATTAGATGACTCATTTGTTTAAAGGTATCTTCCATGTAAACTCTACAATCCAACTCAGCCTAGTTTTTAGAGGTCCAAACTTCTTAAATGTTGTAGACTTTCACTGACTGGTATATCCTTACAAAAAGGGTGTGTGTGTGCTTTCAGTGGCTGTGATTAACCTTGACTTTAGCCGAGCCTTCCACATGGTCTCCCATAGTGTCCCTACAATCAAACTGGAGAGATAAAGACTGGATGGGTGAAATACAAGGTAGGTGACAAACTGGGTGGAATCCTAGATTCAAAAAGTAGTAGTCAGCAGTTCAATCACCGTGTGCTGAGCCCACCGTAGTACAAGAAAGACACTGACAAACTGGAGCAAGTCCAGCACATGGCCATTGAGATGTCTGGACACCTAGAACAGATGTCATAGAAGACAGACATAGCACTGAATGTGTTTAGCCTGAAGAGAAGGCAGCTAACTGCTGTCTTCAACTACCAAAAAGAAGGTTACAGTTGACAGAGTCAGACTCTCCTCTCAGGGCCCAGAGGCACCCCTGTTGGAGTAGGGGACAAAACTTGATGGAGCAAGCCCCTAAGCAACTTTACCTAACTCTGCAAACTACTTCTAGCAAGGGGCTGGACTAGAGTTCCAGAAGTCCCTAACATCCTAAACCGCTGTATGACTCTAAGAAGCATTGCAACACCATACTGCATAACCACAAGACAAAATGGGAAGGAAGCTAGAACCAGGATGCATGTCTCATTCTTTAATACGAAATGAATGTCAGAAGATGTTTTCAATGCTAAATTAGAAAATTCAATGGTCTTTGTTAAATGGTTACTAACTGACTTCAAAGAATTAGTCTGGTAGCATGTCCAACAGCTAAACGCTGACCAACAATCAACTAACCTCCAGCACTTTATGAGATGAGAACTCCACAACCTGTCATTTCACATACACACACAGTTTCTACTAAAAGGCATTAGCTATCATATGGGGGGGGAGGGGGGACAGGACACCAATAAAAAAAAACCCCTAACTTCACAAGAAATTTACAGTTATGAAGAACCAATTCACAGACTGAAAGACAGACCACCTCTTCCCCTTCCCAAAACACATATGCCCAGTAGATGTCTGAACCAATGAAGGACTGATGACAAGACCGATTTCCTCAGTTTCAACATGCCCTCTTCCAAAGATTATTTATGGAATGTCTTTCAAGGCATAAAATTATCACTTGCAATTCCTTCTGAATTTCTATTTATGAAATATCTTAAAACTCAGTATCTTTAAAAAAAATAAAAGCCTGACATAGAGCATTTTTCTGCTTGTTATAAAGAACACAATTGCTGCTGAAATTGAGTAGATATTAAGTCAGACAAAAATTACTGGGATCTTCAATATTAAAAATGTTAATGAAGGACATTGCTAATAAAAATCTGAATCTAGTAAAAATGGAATATATGGAGTTCAAAAACAAACTCCAAGTCTGAAGTCTGAATTCTTAAGAGACCTTTTCAGGGGGCTTTCAAATTTGAGAAGCAGCAAAGCGAAAAGTGCTAGACAGTCATGAAAATTGAGCAGCTTTGTGTTAAGTAAAACATTTCAGGTTTGTTTCTTTGAATTAGTCTGCATTTTCCTTTAGAATTATCAGAGTATTGCCATTTAATTAGGTATGTTAGGATATTTTATTTTTTCAAGGCTTACCTTAAGATAGCCTCCAGATGACACAAGCATTTTACTGTCAGGAGAAAACGAGAGGCCTGTTACCCAACCACCATGTGTTGGTTCTCCTTCGTCTAAAGTAACTGGTGAGCAGAAGTGAAGTAATGCACCTGTTAAAATGTCCCAAATCTAAAAAGAGAGAGAAGATTATGTATATAAGAAACTTAATAAGGAAAAAAATATCTCCAGTAAGGAAAGATGAAATGTATTTTTCTATATGAAAAAAAAAAAACCCTAGTAAATATGCATTCTACTTGCAGTGACAGAATAACCCAAAAAATTAATTCTCCTCATATAACTGTATCATATATGGAGGATTTAATCACACATGCAATTCACAGTAGCATTATTAGTAAATCACGCAAATCATTCCTCAGCATTCATGGAACATAAATCTATCAATATGGTTACAAACTACTGTCTCACATGGCAAACTTTGCTATTTTCAACTCCCTGATGTTCACCACAATGTTAATGAATTAGACACGCAGAACACAAACTATGGGAACTCTTCTGTCTGTGAACTATCAATTGAATTATAACATAAACAGCAAAGTTAAAGCAGTACCCTTATTTCTCCTTTGTCATCTCCAGTGGCCAATAATTTGTTATTAGGAGAGAAAGTACAGCACCGCACGCAGGCTTCATGACCTTTCAGCTCATGAAGAACAGATGAACTTTCAAAGCTCCATATCTAAATGGAAAACGTTACACAAGAGTGAAAAACACAAGTTCAAAAAAAAATTATGACCTCTTTCTAAAAAGGCATTAGCATTCAAAAGTACGTAAGACTTTTTGTATATATACATATATGTGTGTGAATTTATGTATGTATTATACTGTAGTCTGTTTTTACTATCTGAATCACACGAGAATGCATTAGCTACAAGTTCTGAACCAACTGCGAGTATATTTTTTTCCTTGGAATATACTCTTTAATGAAACATTCATTTACAAGAAAGTTTAAAGCTGTTCATAGAAAAAGGATTCATCGATCAGTTTAAAGCTTTATTTTAAAAATCTAATGGGACACTTTAAAAATCTAATGGGACAGCCCCAGAATATTAAACATTTCACTTCTTTTTGCACCTTGCTTCTGAACAGGAATACTATGATCAGCACTTTCACTGGAAGTTCCAGAAATTTTTCTTAACTTAGGTTTCCAAATTGAGAATGTTAGGCTATTAACAAATCAATACAGAGAACTAAACAAAGTGTTCTACCCAAACTTGTGCATTAAACATGCATTTTATTTGTACAGAAGTCACCAGGACAGCCTCAAGTTATATCCAACATCAATTGTGAACGACTGTAACAGCTTTAGAAACATGTTCAGATACGGGAAATTTAATACTAGAAATACAACAGGATAACTTTAATCACTAGTTACCTCATAATAAAAACCATAGCATACACTTCGGGACAAACATGGCATCATTTTTATCTTTGTATAGAAAGTAACAAACCTTTGCAGTTTTGTCAGCAGAAGTAGATGAAAATTTACTACCATCAGGTGAAACAGCACAGGAAAGAACAGCACCTCCATGGCAAGCAAAGTCTTTTTCTGTGTTTCCAGTAGTGATATTCCAAACCTACCAAATATACAGGAAAAACAGGTTACTTTTGTAACACTGTAAAAAGGTTACAAAACCTGCATCTTACACAACAATATATAGGAGATAAAACTCAGCTACATGGTTCTAATATGGCCAACATTTTGCTATACTTACTGGTATAGTTAAAATACAACAAGAGTGTAAATCTTACTAGAAATAGAAAATGCAAAACTGTGTCTTAAAGTCAGCTTACACTTTAGGACCAATTCAATAAAGTGTGTGTCAACACGAAGTACAAGAAATACCAAATGTTAGAAGAGACAATAAAATGTATTTTATGCAATTTGTCAATTCACAGCCTATTTACCTTAACAGTTCCATCAAATGACCAAGAAAGAAGTTTTGAATTTTCCAGAAGTCTAAAATCCTTGATTGCTTCCTTGTGCCCTTTTAGAAACACACATTCGTCCAACTGCCAATTCCATACCTAATTATAAAGATGGAATACTTTTTAAAAAAAAAATTAATGGCACACATAAGTTAAGAAGAATGAACTAACTGATTGTTTTCTAAGTCACAGGAATAATAAAAAGTTCTTATGGAGGTGGCAACTAATTAAAAGGTTAGATAATTAAGATATCCATAGTAGAAATGCTGAAGATTGAGGATGCCATTGTCAACCTATGAAAGAGTTCCCTATAATGCACACATAATCTGATTTTCAAAGTGAATTTGATGCTTAAAATTCACTGGTAATTTAAAAAGAAAAAGCAAACAAATAATTTTCTAGGCATCCCAGAAGTTTTGGATTTTAAACCTTTGATTATCGCAACAAATAGACTTTTGTATTTTTAAAGCATATTTTTAATGAAATGCCATTTTGGATTGTATTTTTATAACAAAATGACACTTCCTATTTTTAATTCAACTATTCACTGAAAACTGAAGAAACGTCATTTTATTTTACAGAAGCTATTAAGCATCAATTTAAATGACAATGATTTAATAGTTTTCAAATTAATAGGTTTTCTGCCTCAAAGAAAGAATAGAAGGTGTTCAGATGACAATCCTGGAGGCTTAACGGAGGCACTGTCCACTAGAAGGAGCTGAGGACCTAGAAGAAAAACTACCCATGTTGGACCTGAAAGAAGGATCCAAAAGCCCATAAACTAGTGAGCTGTCTGTACTGTTTAATTGACCAGAGTGACAGCACTCAAGCTAGCTTCAGATCCACAAGTTCAATGCAGAGTTAGAGCGAAACAAATACCAAAGTGGGATGCAGCATAGGTTACATGTATATCAGCAAGTAGGTAGAATACTGAAGTTGGAACAGATTTGGTAAGCAAAACAGCGCTGAGGACGAGCACCCACATGTGTTTTGGAGGTTTTAGTTCAAACCAGCTGAAGTTTGGTTGTGTGGAGTGAATGCTTATTAGTAGCTGGAGCATGTGCTCTAGTTTAGGAATCCTGTCAGCATGCCTGCAACTGCTCTGCAGTGCAAACTAAAGCACAGTAAGCATAAATGACCAGGACATCCACTTCAAAAGTGCATCCCTGAGGTGAGCAAAATGCTAATAGACACACCGGAATGCTTCTCCGGAGCAAATCTACCTTGTTGAGAGCCAAAGCTTATTAATTTCAGACTAGTGCAGCCATTCTATTTCTAGCTAGTATCTACATTCAACATTGTACTGGACTAGGTGGATGCACCAGCCTGCTCAGACACAGGTCTTTTTACCTCATTCCTTCAGGCAGTGTAAGCAAGCCCATCAACAGATCTACCATATATAGCCAGTTCTGGGTTGCATCCCAAACCCTTCACTTATGCAATCAGAACTACTGAGTTATCTTGTTTGAAAATTAATGTTCCTTTCACCCATCTTAAGAGTTGATGCCTTTCTACCATCCACAGCATTAAAAACAGAAATTGTGTAATATTCATTATCACATAAGGTATAAATAGAGGATACAGTTTCTACAGTCCCTTGGCCCAAGATGGAGCAATACAGAATACAGTAGTCATTTACTGAGTCACATTATCTATAGTATAAAAGATCTTTTTAAATAAATTGTAAGTAAGTTACAACATAATCTTTTTAAATATCTTCCAAACCTGTATAACTGAATCATGAGCACTTGAAATGAGAGTCTGACAATCAGAGGTAAAGCGACAATGCTGCACAGACATCCTGTAGGCCTCCTGGGACTTCAGAACTTTCCCGTCCAACAACTGTAATACCTTTACAATGAAGAATGCAATAATTATATTTATTTTACATACTTGAGGAAAAGGAAGAAAAGAACATGCAAATTCTTTTTTAAATGACATGAGACTGTAAATACATGATTCTCAGTCAATGGACTGGAACAACCAAAAATTCGTATTAGCTTAGTCCTTGGTAAAATAAAATTCAGAGCTACATTATTACCATTACCTTTGCATTATTGTCATTTAGGCATCACTCAAATGTAAAAACTTTAACGTACTATGTTGAAGAATATTATTATACAAAGTCATTCAAATGACATTTCTTTAAAAAGAAAAAGCACCAAGAAGGGTGTTTTCCTACTATTTTAAAAATCAAATTTAGGATTTAATACCTTTATTGTTCCACTCTCCTGTCCAAAAGCTGCAAATTTAAGATCTTCACTTAAGCAACAGCAGGAAATAGGAGATCCTTGAGCTGCTGTCTGCATAACAACACTGTCGGTATTTCCATTGAGAAGCTGCAAGTTAGAAGTTAATTAAGTTATTACAATATCTTTAAATTTAAACTTAAATAAAATACAATACAGAGCTAAGAACGCTAAAGAGAACAGTGTACCAGTTTCAAACTTTGAAGTATAAGGATCTGTTACTTTCATAAACCAATTGCTTTGAAGGTCAGTGTAACTATCTTCATAGAATGCTCTCTGAACAGCACAAGTTTGCAGAACGAAATGTATTCTCAGTATTAGAAGGCTTTTTAAAGTTTGTCTGACTAGAGAAGACAGTAACTCAAAATGTTACTCCCAAATTTCAAAAGCCATATAGCAAGCTCCATGCTCAAATTTACCTTGCCAGCCAGATTCTACAGCTCATGCCAAATGGAGCGTAAAATACTTTAAGTGCATCCTGTAAGCATGACTTTAAACTTATTAGCACATACAATACACCAGATCTCAACTCACTATTCACCACTACATAGTAGTTGCTACAGATTTTACAGTTCAGGAAGGTTAAAAAGTAGCAATTATCCTACACCGCTCCCCACACATAAATAGGTATAACTCCATTCGCTGTGGTTTCTCCCATCTCTTCACTGCAACAAATGCAGCTTCTCTTTTCTCACATATTATTTGTTCACATAAATTTTAGTTTCAACATTGACCGCCTTCTGTTGGCTCAAAGTCTGAAATCTTTTTATTGCCAAGGCCCCACTGGAGACACTTTAGCTATTTCCACATCCATATTCCCCACTATTCAATTATCATCACCATTCCACTTCAGGTTTTTTTTAATAGGATTTTTAGGGAGAGTAAGAAGGGGCTAATTTTTTGACAGGACAGACAAAAGGAAGAGGACAAAAAATAATCAGGAAGAGAGAAACAGGAAGTACAGGGCAAACAAGAAGAAAAGTTTCTGCAAAGGAAGCTCTCATTCTACTAGCAGCCTAGGAAAAGCTGAGCATCTCTTAGGACTAGAAATAAGGGAATGGTCATGCTGATTAGCCAGGATTACATAGCTTACATGTTTCCCTTCAGCCAAATTAGGAGAAAGGACATGACCCTACACAAAAAGATTATCTGCAGTGTCCTTCAGTGCAGGACAGCAGAATCTGTTCCAACACTCATCTACCTATACATCCAGCAATAAGAATTCATTGCTTTCACAGTCCAGAACAAAGGTTCATTCCTATTCAGATGGTGCTTTAGGCTAAACACCTGAAATAGCTACCTCACGGCCAAAGATAGAGCATTGCCCATTTTGTAGGTTAACATGCAATCGGTTTGTCTAAGCAGCATTCAGCAACAAATATGAAAGTGTTTCTACTTTTAAACAGTTACAATCAAGTAGAAGCATAATCTGAATGAACTTCTTTGCCTCCACTTCAAAGAAAATCCTATCAACCGACTTTATTTGATGTATTAGAGAATCACAATAAAAAAAAAAAAAGATGTGCATGCATTTGCTATCATGCAATGCAAAAATATATTTTGGATGTTAGTGTACTTACTACTTGCTGGAGGGGTCCACAGCAATAAGAGTGTATCTACTATTAATGTTTTCTTCAGGACACAGAAGACCCCATGCTCTCCTAAGGCTATAGGCAGACCTGGGCTCACGCCTTTCACTCCCCCAATTTGAGATGATTCCTTCAGCTATTACGCAGCAGTTCTGATGCATTACATACATGTGCTGTGTAACACCTGGTCTATGGGTGCTGCACACGTTACACATTGCTGTGCATAGCTAAGCCACTTGCAGGGCCCACAGCCTCCCCAGCTGTGAAGAGAAAACAGTTTTGTTCCTCTGCATCCAACTTCAGTTTCAGCATCAGTGTGGAAACTTCCCTTCAAACTTTATTTTTTGCTTACTAAACTAGGCAGAGTTTCTAGGTATGAAAATGTTATCATACATTAAGAGTCATCTGCTACAGATTTAACTGTTGGAAGCCATGAACAAGCAGTTCTTTCAGAGCTTCCTCTGTTTCCTACTGAGATTTGCAGATAACATTAAAATGTACTAACATATTGAGATACACAGCTTACTTGTAAATGTTTCTGATTGTAAATTGCTAAAATCATCACTTCACCATCATGAAATACAACATCTAGTTCACTTTTTAGCACAGCATCAGAAGACTTGCACACCTTCTTTGTTTCCCAAATCTGTTAAAGAACACAGTATTTCATTAGTTTTATTAAGAGTACCTGTAAACGAAAGTCTTATAAACTTGCAAGTAACAGTTATTTTTTAAATCAGTGAAAATTACGCTTCTGCTATTTTTATTTATGAGGTAAGGTTGTGCAAGTACTATAGTGATTCCCACAGATGAAACAGAACTAATTTTTTCCAGGCTGACTAGCAGACTCCCCTGTGTTTAGAGTCATAGCTATAAAGTTCACAATTTTCTCATCCAAAGAAGAGCATTAAAATACAATTACAAAAAATACCAAGTACAGATTTCTATAGTTCAACTGCTTTCAAAATTCCAAGAATATATGTGTTAACTTAGGACAGAAGGAAGGTTACTTTGGTAAACTATAGTTCTACTTTCACAGATTTTAATAGGGCATTACAGTTATAGAAATCTATTCTAAATATTAACATGCAAATATATCTAATAATGAAAGTAATATCAAGTCTGCTAGGATCCTCAAAAACTTCACAATTCCTGATTCACATAAAATCTAAAACAAAATAGAAGGTTACAATTACTCTTGAACAGCCACCGGACTTCAAAAAATCATATAGATATACGTAAATAAAGTGAAAAGGCCAGCTCATTTTACTGTATATCTAAATAATTTTATAATTTCATAATAAATATTTGAATTTATATTGGCTATAAACATACATAAATACTAAATATATATCATATAAACTATAAACATTATTTATATTATGTAATTTTATAATAAACAATTCCTTAAATTAATAACTTAATAATGTATACATAAATCCACATTTTTCCAAAAAAGAAAGATGTCATCTTACGCGTACTGTCTGGTCATCAGATGATGTCAGAAATAAAGATCCATCTGGCGAAAATGTCACACAGTGAACCCAGCTCATGTGGCCCCTGCAATATGCTACTTTTGATAAAGATTTAATGTTCCATAACTACAACAAAAACAGGAAAGAAGAACTCAAATAGATTTAGATTGCATTTACAGGGAAAACAGTGCAAAACAAGTAGTATACTTAATTACTATTTCTTCTAGTATTTTCTTCTCGTTCTGAAATCAGATGTAACAAGAATTGTGCCTGCTTATCACATTTTGATGGTCAGGGAAATTGAATCAGCAGCCTCTTTGACTGCTAGAATTTTAAAAGATGGGGCGGGGGGGAGGGGAAGGGAAGGGAAAAAAAAAAAAAAAATCACTCACAGTATTGAAAAAGTTACAAGTTCAACTGACCATGTGGATTGCAAAACCAAAAAAAAACCCCACCCCAAACAACCTTAACCCCCAAACTGATACTTGTACAGGCTTATTCTAGCTGTGCTAGTCCCAAAGTCATTCTAGCTATTTTATTCCTTTGTAGTGAGTTGCTACATTCTGCAGCAGCATATATAAGCAGAGGCAGGTCTGTTTGAGTTAAGCAATGGGAAGGCCCGTAGTCCTGAGAGTGACAACAGTAACTTTAAAGAAATTTAGTAGTCTAGTCTTTTTATATAAACATGAGTTCTGTTGTCCAAAATTAATGTATAATTTTAAAACTTTATTTCCCAGCTGATATTTTACATTTCAGAAGTGAACAAAGATTAAAAAGAATGAAGCACATCAAAAGCCTGCTAAAGTAGCTACATGATTTGTTTTACCTCTGCATACAAGAAACTATTAAGACAAATGTAACATTTTATATTGCAAATTGTCTTTGCTACAGTATACCAGAGAAGACTATCACTTACCTCAACAGAACAGTGAGACAAAGCAACTGCTACTAACTCATCACCAGGACAAAAGTCACAGTACTGGATTGTACTGTGATGACTTACGATGACTTGCGTTAACAAATCACATGTTTTAACATCAAAAAGCTGTGAACACATAATTACAATAGTTAGCACCCAGTTTGTATGACTTCACTATAAACTGTTAAGCTTATATGCTCAACAGCGTACATTCTTGAATTCAGAAGGTATTTCTCTCGGTCAACCAGTTTGCTGCCCACATATTTTTACTTTACATACACTTAAAACCATGCACCTTATATCTGAAATATCTTATTGGCCTAGAATTTTATCTTTAATCATAATTTCTAACTAGATGACCTTTAAGGTCCCTTCCAACCCAAACCGTTCTATGATTCTATACTACCTCAAGAAAATTATTGAAGTGAGGTACTTACCAAAAGCTTATTTTTGGCTACCACCAAAATCATGTTACCATTTCTGGACCAAGAGCAACATTTTACTAAGACCTCCACATCATCTGTTTGCTCATCTGCATTTTTGAAGAAATCTTTTACCTCAATACTTTTCCGTTCATTTCCTGAGCGTGCTTCCCAAAGCTGTAATAAAAATTAAAGGAAATGCACAAACCCTCTTTTTATCGATGTGGATACAGAATACAACAGGGGAGAGCTAACTCCCAACCACTTGTAGGGAAGAAGGGAGGCAGAAGGTAGAATACAAAAAAGCCTTTGCTACTTTCCCTGGTCAAGAAATAGCATTAGAATATTCACAAGCCCAGACAGCTTAGACCAAAAGGGGAAAAAAAACCAAACCCAACAGAAAAAAAACAAATAAACAAATACAAATAAAACAAAAGAGGAGGATTACAGTGTAGCAGAGCCCTCTCCCTGGGTTTTTCCCTCATATCATTCCAGCTACAACACTGTCTCTTAACAAAAGAATAAAAACAAAAATAATATCTGCTCTGCAACTCTATTAAAAGTCCACTCACCATGAGAAATCTGGTATACATCTAAGTTTGCACCCTAATTTGAGGCACCTGCCAAAAATCTACTGAGTATTTCTGTTGCCTTCACTGCAATTTTCCTTCTGAATGACAACAGCTACAGCAACCCTTCTTTCCTGATTTAGCAACTCTACAGAAAGATAACAGTGTTTTAAGAACTGCAATTCTGAAATAGCATAGTTCTGTTGCAAGCAAAGGCAATAAAAAGAATAGTTACATTCTGAGGAAAAAACAAAACATAAACCTCTCAATTCTCTTCTGGTGCATACATGAAAAATGGGACATAGAAACTGCTTTTAACTTTTATGTTTACTGACACTCATTTTCAGAGATAACAGAACTTTCAGTTAATCTAAAAATTTATTACTTTTTAAAAAAAATAAACAAAACAAAAACCAGTTTCACTCCCCCCCAAGTTTTCTTAAGGTACATTGGCGGGGAAAAAAAAAAAAAAAAAAATAGTGAAAAGTAAAGGATTCAAAATGAGGCTAGCTAGGGTTTATTTACAACTACAGGCACCCAACTTTTTTTCCCTGGTACTGGACAAGCCATGTCAAAATCTTGCATTAAAAATGGGAGTAATAATGAACTGTTTGAGAATTTAACTCGTTAAAGCTGACCATGCAGACACAAAGTTTTCTTATACATATTTTGCATTTTATAAAAAAAAAAAAAATACATCATCAAAACAAGCAGTTGATTTAAAAATACACTGTGTACCTTTACTGTTCCATCTGTTGAGCAGCTAGCAACATATTCGTCATTTGGTGAAAATCTACAGTGATTGACGGAACTTACATGACCAATCATCGTATTTCTACAATACTTTTTGTTCAAATCCCAAAGCTGCATAAGAAATAAACATATAAATATCATCATATTCATGAATTATTCAAAGACAAATTGTTCATGTTCTTCTCAAAAACATGCACGGGCAACCAAAACCTCAATTTTTTTTTTTCTTAAGTTTTACCTACATACTTGTGGACTTGATGCTACACCCCAGGCTACCCTGCAATTTACCTCCATCTGCTAACATGCACGAAAACTATTACATCGGAATTACACAGAACTAGTTAAACTTTCTGTACAGTGCAGACAAGGCCCTTGAACAGCACAAAATTACTGAAAGTTTCTTCAGACTGAGGAAGTAGCTTCCTCTTGCCTTCTTCCCTTTCAACATTGAAGTTCAGAATTAGGTACCTTACACACAATAACAAAAATGAAATCTCTCAGGTTAGTCTTGGACAGTCTGAATATCATCCTTGCCACATCAATACTAACAAAGTTAAAAGAACATTCCACATGTTTGTTTTGTTTAGGGCTCCTCTTCCCCACCCCTCTCACATACGCTGTTTTCCAAGCCTATAGCCCACACTTCCTTTCTCTGTTTCCAAATTTCTTCCCTTTTGCCTACATTAAAAAAAAAAAAAAAATGCACTTGACTGTACAAGTGAGAGCTCAAAACAATACCAGTCACTTGTACAGTGTTCTCTGAAAAAAAATCAGGCCCTTTTGATTACTGTGCATACTGCAGTTCTGTTATTCATTACTCATGAAAGTGTCAACCACTGTCTAAAATCTTAACCACATTTACAGTATAAAAATCATCATTTTAAACAAGTTCCTTCTAAATCTACATGTTCCAAGATGTCAGCCTCAGACAGCAAACGCATCTCCTGAGACATCCAGGAGGTCAGCACAAAAGCCTCTTCTTTCCACCCTGACATCAGATTGTAACTGTATTTTACCTCCAGTTTACACAAACACAAGCTGTTGCAAGAACTCTTCAGATGAGACTTCACATTGCAATTAAAACACCTCACATCCTGCTAGCTACGGCTGGAAGAAACAGTGGTCCCCTCCACTAACAATCTCACTCCTTGCTGTCTACTCCCAACAGTTTTCTTGCACTGGAACTGGACAATTGAGCCACTACGTGGAACTAAATGAGCAGAAAACCAATCCCACCAGAGCTGGCTCCTTGAACCACACCACTGAAGAGTAAGATTAGCACATGCACTGCAACAAAGGCAAGAATATACAGTCAGGGCAGTAGGACCATCATCTTCAGTGCCAGTTAACTATATGATTTGCTTAGTTGTACTGTGAAATTGCACTCTTATTTGCCAGAGTCTAGGTCTTAGTTGATTTTTCTGTTTTCTCCCTTCCCTCAGATGCAGACTTCAGTTGCCCAGTTTCTACTCTTTCTGCACATACATACTGCCTCCCAATCTGAACAGTGCCAGCTGCTTAACCTGACAAACATCTTGCTTTGATTACTGTTATTTTGTTGGCTTCCACCTTCATTCCTTCACTATGCCCAATCAATTTAATCAAAAAATGTACCTGCTACACTTCCATAATGCCTTTTTTCCCAGTCTTTCAGCATCCATTTTTTTTACATTATTAATGTTTTCAATCCTAAACTTCTGCTTTCATTTTTCTTATGCTGTTTTTAATCAGGTATTTCACTCCCATACTCTCCCATTCCCATCTCACCCTCTAAAAGCCTTGCCAAAGCCCTCACCTTCATGCCCTATCAATACAGGACTTGCCCATTTCTCCTTCACTGAGCATAAACACTCCTTCTGTTCTACCTTGTTGAAATCCAATTACAGGGCTGTAGTCAGTACTCTTAATCTGTTGCCATCTCTCTTCTACCAGGCTCATTAAAAAACCGCTTAGTTTATAATTTTAAAATATATTCATACATCAATAATTATCCTGTTGTTATAAGCAGTGTGAGAACAATCTCAATCTTTTCCACTTACTTTGATATAAGTGTCATTTGAGCAGGTGGCTAAAAGATACTGACCACTTCTGTTATTGAACTGGCAGCAATTGACCTGCTCTGAGTGTTCTTCATATACACACTTACACTGGCCTGTTCTTGAATTCCAGACCTAGACAAAATTGAAGGATGAAAAAGACTTTTAAACATATTTAAAAGTACTTTAATTTTTAAAAAATCCGTCAACTATCCTGAAATACAGATAAAGCCCTAAAACATTCTTAATAACACCTCAAAAATGTTTTGACGACAAAGGCAAAGCATTTATATTTACAATTAGAAACACGAAGTTATAAGTGCAAAGGTCATAATTCAGATTAGAATCTGATAAATACTGGAATTTCACCAAGGTTTTGCTACAATACTGAGGAATTAAACATTCCAAATAATTCACATGTAACAGAAAAAAAAACATGAAAAAAGAATTACGGGTACATTCATCTCATTTTATGGATAGGATTGGACTCACACATTACGTTCTACTTAAAAAGAATCATCTGATAACACAAGTAAAATAAGCGGTACTTCTGTCAGCATGACATTAACGTTAAGCATCTTTTACGTTATGTAACAAGTGGGGCTTTTCTGTTTGTTAAGTAGTGAATTATCCACATAAGATTTAAGACAGTTAAAAAACACTAGTCTTAAGAATCTGCTCTGCCTGAGTTGGTTAAAACTGAAATTAGAATTATTAATTTGAAACAAAAATTCTCTGCTCTCCATTTCCTTACCTTCACTTTTTTATCAGCTGAACAAGTTGCTACAAATTCACCATCTGCAGAGAAAGTGCAACAAAGTATTTCATCATCATGGGCACTTATCTCCAGGAGTCTCTCTCCACTTTCTGCTTTAAACACCTAAAACAACAAACCATAAAATCTTGTAGCTTGCATACAATTTTAAAACACAAATATAAGTTTGTTTTCTCTCAAACAGCTCTCTTTATATAAGCTCTTCATAACAATGGTTTACTTTTGAAAGCATTTATAATTTCAGGGAAATTAACATAATAATTTAAAAAATATTTGAGCTTCAGTTTTGTAAGGATGATAGAAATTGTTACGAGAGAAACAGTGAAAACTGATTTTAAAAAAGATTTCTGTATGCAACGTGTGTTTCATTAATGACTTTTTCTACCCTCACTCTTTAAGCCTAAATCCATGTCCTTTTGCAGTATTTTTTAGTAGTAACTGCAAAACACTGTATCTATTAACAAAATCTAAACTATTCTTAAAACTACAAAATCCATGTTTATATATATACACAACATCCTTCTGTAAAAAGTAAGAATTTCAGCAGCAATTGATGATTTGGGGAAAAAACAAGAAAAAAAGTAGTAGTGAAAAGTCACACAGGATGACACAAGTCTCAGTCTTGAGCTAGTCATTAGCAATAAAACGACAGTTGGGGGAAAGCGTCAAATATTAATCAATTTCCCCAAATTCTGGGATTTAACTTTACAATGCGGGGGGAAGGTGTCAGGTCTCCCTTTCCTCCTTAGGTTACATATTCTTAATTATTAAAACAAATCACAAGGTGTTCTTTACAGCCGTGTTCAGGATACTACAATTGTGAAGTCCCCATTTTTTTCCTTTACTTTTTCATTGAATGGGAATATCAATGACAATGAAATGGTTGGTATTCATTCAAATAAGAACATAAATACTGAAGTAACAGGAAAGCTACATTTACAGTAAATTCTGCAGAGTATCTGTTCGTAATCTAGCAATTACTTTTTATTTTACAGAAACAGTAGAAGTAGCCTTGAAAATTGAAAAGCTTAGGCTGTTATTAGAAAAAACTTGAATAATTTCAAAGTTAAACAATAAAAAAAGGATTATTGCTAATTTTCCTATTACTTCTTCAACAAAGGTTTAGTTGAAATGGAATCGCAGTCCACAGATTTTACTTTTTTTGGGTAGAAAATGAAGAGAAAAATAAGCAATCTGCAGTCTCAATAAGGCCATTAAGTACAGAAGCCCAGCACAGTAACTTCAGCACAGCATAAAATGAGTACATACACCAGGCATCCCCTTAAGTGGATGTCATGATCATAATATTGTAGAAGCCAGCAAATAAAATAAATAAAAACACAATAACACCACATTAAGTAGCCAAATAAGCAACAACTAAGCACCACTAATATTATTACTTTAGTACTCAACTTACCAAGCACCCAAAACAATACCAAACGCTTGCAGAAAAGTTGTTCTTTTCCCTTACCTTTGGCTGTCTGGAATATGGATACTTTACCAGGTTACTGGCTGATTGCTAGTTTTCTTGAGAGCTGGCTGGCTCCCCTCCAGGCAGACTGCTGGCAAATTTGTATTAGTCACTTTCCTCTCTGTCTCCCCTAATCCACTTCCTAAGCACTTTAGGCTTGTTTCCAATCTAATATTGTCCTCAACTTCACAGGTTCATTTTTCTCCCCAGATTTATTACTTTTGTATAAGACAATTTACTAACTAAGCACCAAAATAGCATAATGTCTATTACCACCCCATAGAAATAGTAAAGCTGCAACTAAAACATTTTACTGTTTCTCAGTTCTATAGAAGGTCTACTGTGACTGGATGGAAATAACATTTTTGCAAGCAAGTATTAAATATGCTGGGGTGCATTACTTAAGCTGTGAGCTTTTCCATATCATTAAAGGCATCTCACATTCACATATTACACCAGTGAGGGTATAAACCCTGAAACACACAGTTTTTTTAGCTTTTGAACTAGAAGATAATGCTTACTATTCTAAACATGCAACTTGATGTTTGTGTAATAATACATTCTTCTCAATCATTTGCCTCCAATATGTTATAGATCCCTAATATCTCCACATAACAGCAAAAGAAAAGCAACAGAACTGTTGACAAATGTTATCAAAATAGTACACAGCATCTCTTTTCACTCATGCATAGGTATCTTACCTGAAGTGTTTTATCAGCTCCACATGATGCTATTCTCTGTCTATCCTTAGAAAAGCAAGCATGGTAAACTGCATCTCTATGTGGACGAACGACGAGACGGTAGAGGTTTTTCAAGGATTTTTTATTTCTACAGGGTAAGAAGTTGATTTTAGATGAGTAGGATTTCCTACTAGTGCCTTTTTTTTATTCAAAATCTGCTATAAAAAGATAACACTTTTTCACACATCTTGAGCAGCAAGCTTTATAACAAACCAACCAACCAACCCACTATACCTTACCTCTCAGCCTTTATGCTGAAATCATGAGGGAAACACTAATTCCAGCATTCACTGAAGAGTTTTTATTGCCCTCCAATATTACAGCTTAGAGATAAGAAAGATAATACATGCATGAGAAATTAACATGGTACTTCATGGGAAAAGCTGTTGCACCGCAAGACACAGCCTTTCTAATGACATTTTTATGATTTGATATGCGCTATTTCCAAATATGAATTTCTTCCTGAGAATTCTTGTTTCTTCTGCAGGTTCCTTTTCAAGCTTACTCAAAAACATTTGTAAATTTGTTTAGATCTTAGTAAATTTACTAAATTTCACAGCAATGACTCAATTCTTATCACTTGATATTTAAATAAAATCTATGACTACCACTGCATTTCAATCAGAGATTAAGTACAGAATCTACCACACCTTAGATGACTCTTGCCTCACTTTAACAAAAACTTAGAATTAGTAGCAATCATAATCATCCTGTTTAGCCAGATCTTAATACAGAAAGAAGTCACTGTAATAAGATGATTTTTGGTGATGAATAGTTTGTTACAAGATTAGTTGGTTTTTTTTTTTTTTTTTTAGAGTCAAAACGAATCAATGTACTTCAAGTTTCTATCATTACCAGTTTTAATCTTCAGGCTTAGCATTTAAATAATGGGTAAAACATCTCAAAGTAGCTGTGCTTTAAAATGAAAGCAATTTTTCACTGCAAAATACTGACTCATTTAAGCCAACATTTTTTTTTTCATATTGTAAGAAAGCTAAAATTGCTTGTCAAGCAAGCAGTGTATTCACCTACATATCCTACAAACCATTTTTAGAACCTTGCCCTGGGATGGGACACAAAAACATCTGTGTCTGTTCTGTTGATTTCAGCCATGTTCTTCAGCATAAGTCTCCAACATCCAAGGTGAAAGCCCTGAACTACCTGGAGACTGACTCTTCTGAATTGTGCAACTTTCAAGCTTTTTTGTTAGAATTCTGTTAGCTATGCAAAATGAAATAGCCAAATATTCAGAGAAGACCTGAATTCAAGTATGCCTCAATTAACCTGCCTGGTTATTACTGTAATTACCTGACATAGAGTCATTCTGGTTTTTAGCCACCAAGTACTGCAGAACAGAAACATCAAACAAAAGAATCTAACAGACACGGTTACATGGCAAAGTGACCATGCTGGAAAAATATTTAGATATGTATACTTTTTCATTAAACAACTTCCAAAAATATGAAAACAGCAAAAAAATTATGTAAATAGGAGAAATTTCAAGATCGGGTAGAGATTACAAAGCCTTTTAGCATTTCCCTTGCTACTTTCAAAAACTTCGCAATTTAACACAAATGCTCTCCTTTTTAAAGCTTACATTTTACTACAAAACCTAAAAACATGCTGTTACATACCCAACACTTGCACTACAATTCTAACTTAAAAAAAAAAAATTGAGTACACAAGTAAATACATTCCTCTATTTATTTCTATGTCATTATTACTAATTCGTGGCCTTACATATCCAGAGTTCCCCTCCTCCCACAGGTTCCTGAAAATTTTTTCACTTTCGTTTCCCAGAAAAAACACAGCAGTTCTTAAAAAGGTCCTTATATTAGACATACATTGTATTTAGTTGTACATTAAATTATTGTCTTGGATCAAGGGATAGGCAGATGGGCTGCAGCTACTTACATCCATTCCAAATAAAATGCTCCTGTTTCTCTTTGAGCATGTAGCTTGGCTTGTTGATACACCTCTGATGTCTCTGGCTGGCAAAGACCCAGCTGTATAACATCAGGAAACGGCTGCCGTCCAAGAAGGTGCCCATTTAAAGACAGAAATTCCTGGAAGTTCTCACGTACTGTGCTATTCTATGTACAGAGCAGATAATATTTGGTAACATAGAAAGTGGATTTACTTCCTAAGCGCCTTTTGATTTTTAGTTTTCTATACAGCTAATATTCTTACAGAAGCACTTAGTTGTATTTTTCTGCTTAGTTCTACTAGCAAGCACATATGACAGACTAAAGTATTTCATTATCCTATTCAGGAAAGCATATTATCCATATTTTTCAAATAAAGGATGTTGGCAACAGTGATTTACTCAATAAGCAGTCAGTGTGAAATATCAGAAAGACTATTCCAAGCAGCCAACAAAATTCTACTCCTCCTCAAAAGCAGAGTACCACACATACCCCCCATTATTTATTGTTGTTCACCTTAGTTAATTGAGTTCCATGGTCAATTACTTGGGCACACAGTGAAGTTACAACTAAAACTGAAAACTAAGTTTTCTTCATTTTTCTCTTCTCCAAGTTAAACTTAGCACTGTTTTTATGTTTCAGTTTTTTAAGCTTTCTATATACCTCTCATATATGCATACATCCAACAAAATGCAATTAAACATGGAAAAACATATTTGGAACAGACTGATCGTTTACCTTCTAGTATCATACCTTCTGATCCAGGATTGAACTATATTCTACATATTCATGAATCAGATGAGCAGGCCCTACCAATTCTGTTTTAGCTTTAATCCAATCTAGAGAAAACATAAGATCATGGAGTTCCTACAAAAAAATACAAATTTAAGTTCAGAGCATGAGTTCCACAACAGAATACTTAAGGCAAAAAAGAAAAGCACAGGAATAAATATAAATACGTTAGGTATTTAATATGCTTTGGTACAATTGTCTCCAGTTAAAAACTTAGGCAATTTCCCATTTCGTGCATCTTACTCCATCAAGTATGAAAATTCCTAATTGTCGTGGTTTAGCCCCAGCCAGCAACTA